TTCCTCCCTCCCTTCCTTCCTTCCTACTCCCTCTCTCTCCCCGCTCCCTTCTATCCTTTCTTTTTTCCTTCCTTCCCTTCCTCCCTTCTTCCCTTCCCCTTCCTTCCTTTCCTTCCTTCCTTCCTTCCTTCCTTTCTTTATTTCCTTCCTTCCATCCTTCCTTCCCTCCTTCCTCCCTCCTTCCTTCCTTCCTACTCCCTCTCTCTCTCCCCCCTCCATTCTATCCTTTCTTCTTTCTTTCCTTCCTTCCCTCCCTTCCCCTTCCTTCCTTTCCTTCCTTCATTCCGTCCTTCCTTTCTTTATTTCCTTCCTTCCATCCTTCCTTCCCTCCTTCCTTCCTTCCTTCATTCCATCCTTCCTTCCTAAAGGACATCAACCGTTTTTCTGATGCTTGCCCTTCATGTGCTCAAAGATGTGACCTTGGACTCCTAAGATGTGACCTTGAACCTGATGAACCAGCTGCTGAGTGGTCCAGATGTGCGTGCAGCGTTTTGTGCAGGTCCAACACAGCCGTGTTGAAAACAGGAAGGAGTGAAAAGCGTTTTAAATTCCGTCTTTTCATCTTTTTTATTTGAACCCATGGTGATGAAGCTGAAGATGCTTCTTCCACCTGAGACCGTGGGGCGGGGAGGTGTTTCCAGCAGAGCTCATGCTCTTTGGAGGCGGCTTCTTATTTTGGGAAAATGCATTTGAACGAAGCTCTGACTTGTTCGTCGATTATTCATGAAAAGGATCTCTCCTTTGATGTAAAGCTTGTTCTTTCTGATCGTCCCTGATGTTTGCATCCAAAGAGCTTTTTCCTTTGCTTTTGTTTAGAAAGTTGAACGGGATTTTTAAGCATTTTAAACCACTAGATTCGGCCGATCGTTGAGCATCGAGCTTGATGTTGAAATGAATCCATGCAGCTAAAACGATAAAGAAGTCGGCGTCTTTTCCGTTTGTTTCTTCTCAAACCAGATCTTTGATCCTCCACGATTAACAAACAAACCCTTTGTCTGCGTCTTTTCTTTCCTCCTCTTGTTGGATTCTTGTTTGTCTTCAGCTGCCGCCACCTTCACCAACGGCAACTACGGTCACTACAGCGACGCTGGCGACGAGCAGGGCTTCCCCCCGCCGCCCTCCCCCGACTCCGTGGAGGAAATGAACAGGGTCTTGAATCTGACTCCCCCACCACACCGCAGGTAACCCCTCAGAGCTCATAAAGTGCAACAACCTACATGAACACGGCGTTAAGCTCCACGCAGGGCCAGAGTTCTGATGGCGTCTTGGTCAGGGATAACTTCCACTGATTTTTGATATCAATATATATCAAGATATATCAAGATATATCAAGATATATCTAGATATATCTATATATATCTATATATATATCAAGATATATATATATATATATATATATATATCAAGATATATCTATATATATCTATATATATCAAGATATATCTATATATCAATATATATCAAGATATATCTATATATCTATATATATCAAGATATATCAAGATATAAACAATTAAGCTTTTTAAAATTATCTGGGTTAACTGTAGCGCTAAAAGAGATCTGTGCAAATCAATTCAGATGGAAAGGGTTTGAACAATTAGTATCTTACCTGCTATAGATAGCCCTTTGAACAGCTATATATATCGATATTTATATATATCAATATCAATATAATTATCAATATATCAATAATCATCTCTTTTAGCTTTTAAAAAGCTTATGTGCAGATCAATTCAGGTGGAAGGGGTTTGAACAATTAGTATCTTACCTGCTACAGATAGCTCTTTGAGCAGCGATGTAAATTGATTTGATACATATTGATATTGATATATCAATATTGATATATATCAATATATCAACAATTAACATTTTGTAAATTATCTGGGTTAACTACAGCGCTAAAAGAGATCCATGCAAATCAATTCGGGTGGAAAGGGTTTGAACAGTTAGTATCTTACCTGCTATAGATAGCCCTTTGAACAGGAATATATATACCATACCATTTTATTTATAGAGCACTTAAAACAGCGACAAGGCCAAGCAAAGCGCTGTAGATATATATCAGTATCAGGATAATTATCAGATAGCTCTTTGAGCAGTGATATATATCAATTTGATACATATTGATATTGATATATTGATATATATTGATATTCATATATATCAATATATCAACAATTAAGCTTTTTAAAATGACGTGTGTTAAAGATTAATGTTTTGTGGCCAAGGCCCCCACTGGCCACCCCTTGTTTCCTCCACTGCTCCTCTCTCCAGAATCCATCACTGTGCGCCACCTCAAACATGCACAGCGTAACTCCTCCCCACTTGAATATCTTGCACCAAAAACATTTAGGTTTGCTTCATTCTCTGTTCAGTTCCAGTCCAGAAAAACACTCATCACTTAAACTACAAACACTGACTATTCAAATCCCTCGGCGACAGGGGACATCAGCGTACCGATTGCTTTACATTACCTTGTCACTGACGTCAGGTGTACTCGAGTTCCTCCAAGTTAATTTGAAACTACATGTTTTTTTTAACTTGTTTTGTGTGTTTTTTGTTTTGCAGCGAGCTGTCCGACTCGCCTCCAGAGTTTTACTCAAACCACCGCCACGACGAGTACAACGTGCCTCGCAACAGGGCGTCCAAAAGCTTGGACATGGGTGAGCTCGCCATCTGGACAACCGATCTCATCCCTCAGGTCTTTGCATGTTCAGAGGCAGGAAGTAAAAAACACTGTCGTCTCGGGCAGGAAGTAAAAAACACTGCAGTCTCGGGCAGGAAGTAAAAAA